AGCCTTTTTTTCTGACTGCGGCCCCAAGAAAGAAGAAGAGGAGGAGGAGGAGGAGGAGAACGAGAATGTGATACGAAAGATAAAAAAAATAAATCGCTATGGCTATGGCTCTGGCTCAACGGGGAGGGAAGCGGAGGAGCAGGAGAGGAGGAGGAGAAGAAGAAGAAGAAGAGGAGTAGAAGAAAAAGCAGAAGAAGAAGAAGAAGAAGAAGAAGAAGAAGAAGAAGAAGAAGAATCCGAGATGGGGAAAAAAAAAATCGCTACCGCTATGGCTCGGGCTCAACGGGGAGGTAGGAGGATGAGGAGGAGGAGGAGGAGGAGAAGACAAAGGAGGAGGAGGAGGAGAAGAAGAAGAAGAAGAAGAAGAAGAAGAAGAAGAAGAAGAGGAGGAGGAGGAGGAGAAGAAGAAGAAGAAGAGGAGAAGAAAAGAGGAGGAGGAGGAGAAGAAAAGGAGGGAAAAAAATGACGAAGAAGAGGACGAGCAAGAGAACAAGAAGAGGAGGACGGAAAAAGATGATGAGGACGAGGAGGAAGAAGAAGAAGAAGAAGAAGAAGAAGAAGAAGAAGAAGAAGAAGAGGAGGAAGAAGAGGAGGAGGAGGAGGAGAAGAAGAAGAGGAGGAGGAGGGAAAAAGATGAAGAAGAAGAGGAGGAGGAGAAGAAGAAGAGGAGGAGGAGGAGGGAAAAAGATCAAGAAGAAGAGGACGAGGAGGAGAACAAGAAGAAGAGGAGGAGGAGGGAAAAATATGATGAGGACGAGGACAAGGAGGAGGAAGAGAACAAGAAGAAGAGGAGGGAAAAATATGATGAGGACGAGGACAAGGAGGAGGAAGAGAACAAGAAGAAGAGGAGGAGGAGGAAAAAAGATGAGGATGAGGAGGAAGAGAAGAAGAAGAAGAGGAGGAGGAAGGAGGAGGAGGAGGAGGAGGAGACGAAGAAGAAGAAGAAGAAGAAGAAGGAGAAGAGGACGGTCGCTGGTGGACTTAACTTCGCGGCTATGGGGGGCGGTTGCGAGGAAGCGGGCTGGCGGGGCGAAGCAGCTGCACAGAGAGGCCGGTGGTGGGCTGGAGACGGGGCACTGGCGCTGGTCACCTGGTGGCAGCACACGATGGCGACACGCATGCAGAAAGGTGTGACGTCAACGATGGTGTTCTTGCTGTAGCGTGGGGCACGTGGGGTGGAGGGGCGGAGGCAGTGCACGGTACGCGATCCAAATTTCAAAACGCGGCGGATTCCGCGGATCTCTGGTCGACACCAACAGCGTTTTGAAATTTGAAAACGGGTGCCTACCGGACCCCGTTTTCATTTGGAAACGCGCGACAGATCTCCACCATTGATCTGCGCCGATCGGCGGCGGAGATTGGCCGCGCGTTCTCAAACGAAAACGGGGTCCGGTAGCGCCCATTTTTTTTCTTTAACTGCTGGTGACGGCCTTCCAGAGGCTGGACGGGGGCGGGGACGCCCGAAAATCCCCCGTACCGCCCCCCAAAATGACTGCGCCAAATCGAACCGGGGGGCCTGCCGGGCCAGTGAACCGCGCGGTCGGACCGGTAGGCTCCCGGTCGGTCGAAGATCCCCCTGTCCATCCGGGGACCAGCACTTACTAGTGGTTTAATAGTATTTGAGATGTGCTGTTTCTTAATCCGTTTTCTTTGCTCCCTGCCCCTGCTTACAATTGTACACATTTCGCATACTGCACTTCCCTCTGTTGTTGATAGTGCAGACTGCTGCGGACTGTAGTTCTCTCTGTGTGTCTGCTTCTGCATGCTACACATACTGTCTCTGCACATTGCTTTGTTTGATGGACCAAAGGTATGTTGGATGCACTGTAACATGGCTTCTCGTGCCACACATTCTTTGCACGGATCCTTCGTTTCCGTATAGCGTGCACATGCCCCACAAACTCTGATGGGGAAGGAGGGGTGGTTCTTTCCTTCTCTGCTGCTTCCCTCCCCCCTCGTTGTGTTCTATTGCGTGGCAGTTGGGAGCTCCTTGTCCCATCTCCACACTAATGGAATGAATCTTGAATCTGGGCCAGCCCGTCCTATGAGGCCATATGGCCCGTATCCTCGCAACCAACCTGTAGGGCTATCAGCCCAGATTATGAAGTGGTCTTACAATCTTAATATTGTGTGTGGATCTGCATTACTGGCCCAGTACTACAGGCCCCGCGGCTCAGATTCCAGGTGCATAGGTCCTGTCAGACTGTTGTTGCTACTTGAGTCTTTTGTCGTACGAGTGTTTTCTTTCACACGTTGTTTCTTTGGTTCACTGTGTTATACTTGCGCCATGCACCTTCTTTCATGCGTCGCGTCTTTGGTCCACCCTGTTGCGCTTGCGCCGTGATTGACAAGAAAGCAACTGTTGACCGCTTCCCTCCCTCCCATTCTCTCTGCTCTTTTTCACCCTGTGGTTTGGGGGGGGGAGAGAGAGGGGGGGGGAGAGAGGGAGAGAGAGAGAGAGAGAGAGAGAGAGAGAGAGTACTGCTGTCCGACCCCCCTTTGCTGCCGTGCCCCCTCCTTCTGGCCCTGCATGCTCCCTCCTTTCAACCCAGCGTGCGCCCTGTTTCCGCTGCCTGTGCCTCTTCTTCCGTTGCTGCTTCCCGTCAGCATTCCTCTGTCTTCGCTGCAGGGAGAGTGTCGCATACCGTAAAGGTGCAGACCAGAACAAGAACCGACCTCTCTCACATAGTACAAGATAGCGCAGCGGAAGGCTATTATATTAATGATCAGACCAATCAATGTCGCAATGGAGACCAAACATACATCATCATCATTCCATGGTGTGAAAGGGGCTGGCGCTCACACAGGAAGAGTGCGCCAGTCCCCAGCCATACACAGACGAAGAAGAGGGGGGTTAGACGAAGAAGAGGGGAAGATGGGAATGTCGTCAACACCAAGTCTTCGGTACAGGTCCCAAATAATACCTCGTCCAGTCTCTCAATCTCAATGTCGAGTCTGGATCCACATGTTGTCAAGTCCCAAAGTCACCAATCTCTCTCTCTCTTGTAGTCTGCAGATACTGAGCAGTGAGGTAGCAAGAGGGTGAGGGAGAGATGGTGGACTCAGAAGAGGAAGAAGGAGAACTCTCTCTCTCTCTCTCTCTCTCTCTCTCTCTCTCTCTCTCTCTCTCTCTCTCTCTCTCAGTCCGGTGCTAACCTGTGAAGGTGGCGCCTTGTTGCAGGTACATCGAAGACGAAGCTGGAGCTATGGCGACACAGGTAAGTCTCCCTGGCTTCCGCCAACCATCTCTCTCTCTCTCCAACGCTACTGTAGCTCCTAATAGCGCCCAGCGCTGAAGACTACTGCTAACGCTACTACTACTACTGCAGCGCTCCTCCAGGGTGCTGCTGCCGAATTCTGAAGACTGCCTCCTGCCTCCTGCACGTGAAGTGCCTGGGAAGTCCCTATGAACTACTTCCTGACTGCCTGCAGCCTGCAGGGCGGGCCAGTCTTATATAGTGCTGGCTCGTTCAGGAGGCTGCTCTTGCCAATGCCAAAACGTGCCAGACCCTGGCGTTGAAGTTCAAACAAAGGTTGTCTTGAAAACAGGCCCAAAATGGCCTGTGCTAAAACCCTGGTCTTGTGCCTAAGTTTCAGGGCAGGTCGATCTTATGAGGGCCTGAAAATGGCCCTCCGTTTCAGGCTGAAAAGACTCAGGCCTGGAGGGCCCTTTTTAGGCTGAAACGACACAGGGCCTGTAGGCCCTCGTTTTCAGGCTCTTAGGCTGAGAACGCTGGTCGGGCCGTGCAGGCCCGTGTGGCTGCGCAGTATGCCACACACACACACACACACACACACACACACACACACAGAGAGAGAGAGAGAGAGAGAGAGAGAGAGAGAGAGAGAGAGAGAGAGAGAGAGAGAGAGGCAACGACTTTGGAGCTCTGTCTGTGCTCCTCAATCTATCTCTTTTCTAATTTTCCTTCTGTTTTGGTTCGTTTTTGTATCCTTAGGTTTTCGCGGGCAAAGCCACAACAGGTCAAGTAATGTGTAAAACATCGTTTAACCACCAGTACATCCGAGCCTCTTTTTCCTGAGGCGGATTTGTGCAGCGCGCCAAAAAGAAAACAGATGTGACCCTTGGCCAAAAGTTATTTGTATTCCAATTCTACACAACTCTTTTTTTCAGATTTTGCGCTGGGTCTGCCCGGGGTCATGCCCGGCCAGTCACCCGGTCGCCAAACTGAGCGTGACATCGGGACCCGGGCGCCTGGGATATCTACCTAGTGAGAAAGCACAATGGCGTCCAATTGCAAAAGAAATGAATGAACTTGAGAGGAGAGAGAGGGAAAGAAGAAGAAGAGGGAAAGATGTACACCAGGGAAGACCGATGATAATTCCATTCTTCTCGCTAACCACTCTCCTCGTCCTTTTATTCTCCCCTCTTATTCCACATTAAATAATAATAATGCTGAATGGATGAACCAGAATCAATGTCCGAATCCATCTTCTACTGCAGGCACAACATGAGGTCCACCATAGCCATGCCCACCCTTCTCCTTCCTCTTCATGAAGGCCGAGGCTATGGTGGCCTACGAGGGCCTTGCCCTGATGTGCAAAAGACAACTCAAAGCAGCCATGCCTGACTCAAAGCAGCTATGGCTGCTCCTGCTCAGGACGCCATGCCTGACTCTGCCGTTAAGCTTCTTGATGTAGCTCTACCCCAACGGGGGCCTTTCAGATGCAGCGCGCACCAAGGTGATGAAGATGGCGTCCACCATAGCCAGGTAAAGTACCTCTGGCACTCCCCCTTCCTAGTCCTCCTCTTCCTCCTCCAGCCCAAGCTTATAGCGTCCTGCTTGCCTCTTGGGCGGTGGCCTCAAGCAACCGGTACCTCCTCCCTGTCGGAGGGAAACATCATTGCAGACTCTGATATTGCCTGTACAGGCCCTAGACAGACTGCTTGGACTGGTGCCTGCTTAGACGTAGCCTTCAACTACCTGGCCTCTAAAAATGCCAACTTTCGTCTTCTTCTGCCCGGCCTCGAGTACCCGACACATTTCCTACTTGGTGTGGTGTACTGGCCTACCTGCTACTTGAGTGTTTTTCCCCGCCTATTCCTGCCACTTGAGTGTTTTCCCCACTGCAATCCTCGATGTCACGGCCACAGGTAAGTACCGGCCCTACGGGCCTTCACAAGCAGGCAAGTACCCTTGCGGGTCACACACAAACTCAAGTTGTCAAGCACTCAGACACGTACGCAGACCAGCAAGCACGCACATGCACAGACTTAGGAAACTCAGCAACAAGCGGAAAACTCAGCAAGGCATGCATTCCACTGGCAAAACGCAGAAATCAGCTGTGTCTCAGTCCGTGTTTGGAAGGTCCTTACAAGAGTCATAATGCTACTTTTTTTTTTTTTTTTTTCTGCTGTTTTTCAGAAATGAATTCAATCTCTCCATTGTCCCCTGTCCACCTGTTCTTCATCCATTTGCTGTTTTGTTTTCCTGAGTTACTGTGTAGATTTTGGTTGTTGTTCCCCTTCTGTTTTGTGAAGTTGGCTTTCTTAGAGAGGTGGTTTGGGCTGTTACAATGTTTTTTTTTCGTTGCCTTCTACATTGCCACCATATTTTGACTCCTCGCAGTGTGTTGAAACTGGCAGGTTGCGCGGGTGTTCGCCGACAATAAGGTTGACATTGTGATCCACTTCGCAGCAATTGCATATGTTGGGGAGAGCATGGCTGAACCTCTTCGCTATTATCACAATATTACAACCAATACCCTCATTCTCCTTGAAGCAATGAGGGCTGCCGACGTCAACAAGCTGATATACTCTAGCACTTGTGCCACCTATGGTGAACCAGAAACTATGCCAATCACTGAGGAAACTCCACAGGTAGGAAAACCCTTTCGTTTACCTTTTTTTTTGTTCATGCATGTGTGTGTGTTGTTTGTTCTAGGGCCGGGTGGAAGGAGTAGGAGGTAGAGGAGGGATGCAAATCGTGTATCCAGCATCCCAGCTAGTTCCTAGGCATATCGAGGATAGATGTCTGGGGAAAATTGAAATTGATTGCTTGATATAGACGCCTTGGTCCTGTGGGGATCCGAACATCTGGTGCATGGACTGCTTCCACATTTGCACCTGCTTGGTTCCTGGTCCATTATCCAGGTCTGTTGTAGTGATGCTCTAGTCTAGCCACACACACGCCACTGGGTAGGGAGAGAGGTTTGGCTTTAAGATAGCAGGATTATCAGTGGCACGAACGTGAGCCAAGACAATTTTACGTAGGTCTGTATGTGTAAAGCATGTGCGAAGTTGTTTTCTGCAAAAGTGGATGCTGATTTTACTAGTCATTCTGTAGCAATTTTTCTATTATTGTAGTCGATCCTTGAGAAGACAAAACACAGTAATATAATGCCATTAATTGGCTTCAATTTTCAAGCGTCCTGGAAGGTTAAAAGCGAAAACTTATATCGCTTGTGTGCTGTTCCATCCACAACAGAGCATTGTGCCGGGCAAACCACTGCAGTACTGTCAAAGCTGGCATGTGATCTTCGGAGCTCCTATTGTTAATGAGCTAGAAGCAGGTGCATTCCTGCTTTGTAGATGTTTGCTGGTCACGAACTGTTGGGAAGAATTCATTCGAATTTGAGAAGCTCACGTTGATTATGTCACTGCCCAGCTCACACTGATTATGTCACTGCCTTTTGTACACACCACCCGTCCCTCCTACTGATTGAATGGTCCTGTTTCGAATTAGAAAAAAAAGAAAAGAATTTCCTGCATACGATCGGTGCTGGTGACTGATCCATTATTAATATTATGTGTGCTTGTTCAGCGGCCCATTAATCCTTACGGAAAGGCAAAGAAGATGGCAGAGGATACTATTATCGACTACACTAAGTCAAGTTCCGGAAAGATGGCTGCGAGCATTTTGAGGTGAGGGTGGGTGCACTACATTTGACCTGGGACGTATCCCTTGCATGGTGATATGTGATGCCTGTTGTTCTTTTGACATTGCCTGTAACAGACATGCGGCCTGTTGTGAGTGTGCTGGCCTTCCTCATTATCAGCTGCACCGACCATCCCCTTCCATCTCTGTTACCAGGGTCAGACTCACTGCTAACTTGAGTGTGCTGG